TAGAAGAAAAAGCAAAGTCTGATCCTGAAACTCAGCAAGATATTGGAACACATGTCAAAATAACTAATAAACAGGAGACACACTAAAATTAGGAACAGGCAACTAATGCCCTATAGGTCTTTTGCCCTACAGATGTCTGCTGCTGGCTATAAAGCTAAGGCTTATGGGGTCTGAAGTTCAGACTACATTTAGAAGGCATGTTTTTAGAAGGCAAGGTTTTTTTATTCATTCATTCATTCGTTCGTTCGTTATGATTTTATTAATGGAACTGATTGAAGCCAGTTTGCCCACATCACCAAGACACGATAAAAAATCTTCCCAATTTTTTTTTCTGAAATTCTGCTTACTACCCTCTTTACTAACAAGGGAAGATATCCTACCTTTTCTTCCACATTTAACAGATCCTAGTTTGAATATTTGTTTTTATTGGCTTGCTAATTATTTTCTTCCAATTATTTCTGGTTTGATTTTGTTTTGTTTGTTTCCTGACATTAATTATTTGACCTGGGAAACTTTTAACAATGGAAAACAGATAAATATATTTGAAATAAATATGTTATTATCTTTTCACAGTCGCTGCTACAACCCTGATTCAACCTTGCTTCTACTGACTGGGAATTCTGAGAGTTATAGTCCTAACACATCTGAAGAGTATCATTAAATATTTAACATTTCATTGTTAAATATTTAAATATTTTGCATAGAACAGTGAATACTAAATCTTGTAAGGAATTATGAACAATTGCTAAGTATACAAAGTTATATGCGTTGGTGTGTATGCATAACAACAACTTACCTTCTGATCCACAAGCAATCGCTGAGTTGCTTCGATATCTGGGGCCATAAAACGATCTTTCATCCAAGGCCTGAACAAAGTCAAACAAAAATCCTAAATTTAGTCCTGTTAGTATGGTTCTGTTAATATTTGGCCAATGTTCCCAAAAACTATAATCCGTGGGAATCGTTGTTTGATATACCTGACAACAGACCGCACAAGGTCATAGACTTTCTCCAATGGGGTTGTAGTCCTGAGTGGGCGTAGAAACTCAATGCCCTGACATGCTGCAAGCAGTTCTATAGCCAGCACTAGTGAACACAAGCAATAGGAAAATGCTTGGTTAGCTGAAAGAGTTCAAGATGTAACACTCAACATTTGACGTCACAGGACCCAGTTGGCACTTTAAGGATATGACTGAGAATGGAGTTCTGAAGAAATTTTAGAAATGTTTTGTCATTTGCCAATAAGTGCAAGAGGTTGATCTATAGGTTAAATATCAAGGTAAAAGTAAAAGTCAAATTAGGACAGTTTATTTATTAGGCCAATTCAAGACCACAAATTAACATGCATTGTACAAAACTATAAACAACAAATAAACAACAAGGGCAAGCACCATAGCCATAATATTGACAAATGATGTAATCATGAAACTAAATCTTTGTTATGGTCATAAACCACATACAATGATTTAATAATATCCAACACCATTAAGAATATATCTGCACCAAGCTATTCAAATGGCAAAATAAGATACCTACAGAATAATAATAATAATAATTAAAAAAGGGTAGGGCAACTTTTTCACTTGAACTCCTCTAGCCTCTAATGAAGTATACTATGACAATCTGTCCAAGATCAGCAACTAAAAACATACATTTGATTTGATATTTACAGACTTAAACTTTATACATTAGCGCTGAGGCACCAATTATAGAGAAGATGAGAGAAGGCCAGCTCCACTGGTATGGACATGTTCTGAGAGCAGCACCTTCCACCATTGCCAAGACTGCCTATCAAATAGAAGTCAATGGCTGGCAACCTCACTGGTGTCCAAAACAGAAATGGCAAGACACCATCAACAAAGATGTAGAAGCCACAGGCCTATGCCCTGGAGATGAAGCTGACCCGGCAAAGTGGTG